CATGCCTCCGACATATGATCATCATACCACCACCATACGATCGTCATGCCACCAACATTTGATCATATTACCACCTACATCTGATCATCGCACCACCATATGCTCATCATACCGCCACCTTACGGTCATCATACCACCACCACATGTTCATCATACCTCAACCATATGATCATCAGACCACCACCATCTGATCAGCATACCACCACCATGTGATCAGCATACCACCACCATACGGTCATCATACCGCCACCATATGGTCATCAGACCACCACCGTGTGAAAATCATACCACCATTCTATGGTCACCATACCATGATCATAGGGTCATCATACCACCACCATATGATCATCATACCACCACCATACGATCATCATACCACCACCATATGGTTACCACACCACCACCATAGGATCACCATACCACCACCATATGATCATCATACCACCACAATATGATCATCATACCACCACCATGTGATCATCTTACCACCATCATCTGATCATCACACTGCCAACATATGATCATCATACCACCATATGGTCATCATACCACCACTGCGTGAACATCATACCACCACCAGATGGTTCTCAGACCACCACCATGTGATCACCATACAACGCTCATCTGATCATCATACCACCAACAGCTGATCATCATACCACCACCGCATGAACATCGTACCACCACATGAACATCACACCACCGCCAAAAGATCACCATACCACGATCATCTGATCGTCATACGACCACCATCTGATCATCAGACCACCACCATCTGATCATCAGACCACCACCATATGTGCAGATCACCACCTCCGTATGAACAGCAGACCTCCATTATGTGAACATCATACTACCACCATATGATCATCATACCACCACCATATGATCATCATACCACCACCATCTGATCATCATACCACCACCATATGACCATCATACCGCCACCATGTGACCATCATGCCACCACCATCTGATCATCACACCACCACCATCTGATCATCATACCACCACCATCTGATCATCATACCACGACCATATGATCACCATACCACCAACATCCGATCATCATACCACCAACAGCTGATCATCATATCAGCACCATATGATCGTCAGACCACCACCACCGGACCATCACACTACCATCTTGACGGACGGGCTGGCCACCGAACCCCGGCCACCAGACCCTGGCCACACACCACACACATCACACACACCACACACACACACCACACTTACACCACACACACCACACACACCTCACACACCACACACACCTCACACACCACACACACCACACACGACACACACACACACCACACACACACACACCACACACACCACACACCACACACACCACGCACATCACACACACCACACACACCACCTACACCACACACACCACCTACACCACACACACCTTACACACCACACACACGACACACCACACACACACACCACACACACCACACACACCACACACCACACACACACACACCACACACCACACACAACATACACACCAGACACACCACGCACACCACACACACACACACACACCACCGCCCACCACCGCACACACCATCACCACCAGAACTCCATCACCACCCTTACGGGTACGGGCGGACGGACTGTCCGGCCACCAAACCCCGGATAGCCCTAGTAGTAGTAGTCGTAGTAGTAGTGCCAGTTGTGGTAGTAGTAGTAGTAGTAGTAGTAGTAGTAGTAGTAGTAGTAGTGGTGTTTACACATTTATCAGTGATCTCAGTAGTCGAAGTTGAGGTAGCAGTAGCAGTAGTAGTAGTAGTAGTAGTAGTTGTTGTAGCAGAAGTAGTAGTCGTGTCAGTGATTTGTGTAGAATGTTGTTGTGATCCATGTTGTGTTCGTATTAGAAGTGGTATCAGTAGTGATAGTCGTCGTCGGAATTTCAATATCTTCAGCAATCAAGCAGGAGTAGCAGTAGTAGTCGTAGTAGTAGTCGTCGTCGCAGCAGTAGTACTTGCAAACGTCTTGGTAGTTGTCGTAGCAGTAGTAGTAGTAGTAGTAGTCGTAGTAGTCGTAGTCGGTGTTGTACTAGTAGTACTCGTACCACTACCCGTAGTAGTCGTAGTAGTACTCGTCGTCACAGTAGTGATTGTCGTAGCCGTAGCCGCTGTAGTCTTAGTAGTCGTAGCAGTAGAAGTGAAAGTAGGTGTAGTAGTACTAGTACTAGTAGTGATCGTAGTCGTAATAGTAGTAATGGCAGTAGTAGTAATAGTAGTAGTAGTAGTAGTAGTAGTAGTAGTAGTAGTAGTAGTAGTAGTAGTAGTGATAGTTGTACTAGTAGTAGTAGTAGTAGTAGTAGTAGTAGTAGTCGTAGTAGTAGTAGTAGTAGTATTCATAGTAGTAGTAGTAGTAGTAGTAGTAGTAGTAGTAGTAGTAGTAGCAGTAGCCGTTGTAGTAGTAGTCGTAGTAGTAGACGCCGTTGTAGTAGTAGTCGTAGTCGTAGGAGTGGTGGCCGGAGTGATAGGCATAGTGGTAGTATTAGTAGTAGTCGTAGGGGTAGTAGTCGTAGTAGTAGTAGTTGTAGTAGTAGTAGTAGTAGTAGTAGTCGTAGCAGTACTCATAGTAACAGTAGTAATAGTCGATGTAGTACTGCTACTACTGCTCGTATGGCTGCCACCGTTGCGACTACTACTGTTACACCAGCTTTTGATTGTATTCATTACGACTAGGCACTGCGTCTGCATTTCGAGAAATTTACCCAGTATCTTGGCGCAGTACGACAACAACCGACATTCACCACAACTGCCACGACGACTACTATTACTACGATCAGTACTACTACTCCTTCTGCCACCACTACTACGACTGTTACAACCACAACCACAACTGGTATTATTATTATTAGTAGTATCACGACTACGACTCCTCCTCCTCTTACTACTACTACTACTACTACTACTACTACTACTACTACTACTGCTGCTACTACTGCTACTACTACTTCGACGACGACGGCGGCACGGCGGCTACTACGATGATTTGGTTCATTTCCGCGACCAGTCTTTCTACCACCCACGGGGGGATTTCTCTCCACGTGGTCTTACTATCGCTGGAAAATCCCCGAGATGACCCCCCCACCCGGGGATTCAAACACCTGTCTCAAATTTTTGTGTTTGCGAAGGGATTTCTTCGACGTCCCGTGCATCGTACATCCGTGCATCCGTACACCACCACTGCTACATTCACTTCCACCACTTCCACCACTCGCACGACTACTTTCACGACTACTAGTTCCACTATTTCCATGATTTGTGCCATTGCTACTACCACTACTACTACGGCGACCACTTCTACTAAACCTGCTCTTACTACGACGACGACTACTACTAGTACTACTGCTACTACTACTACTACTGATACTACTACTACTACTACTACTACTACTAGTACTAGTACTAGTACTAGTACTACTACTACTACTACTACTACTACTACTACTACTACTACTAGTACTACTAGTACTACTACTACTACTGCTAGTACTACTACGACTACGGCTTCGACTACTACTACTACTACTACTACTACTACCACGACTACTAGTACTACTACTACTACTACTACTACTACGACTACTACTACTGCTACTTCTACTACTGCTACTACAGCTAGAACTACTACTACTACTACTACGACTACTACTACTACAACTACTACTACTACGAACTACTACTAATACTACGACTACGACTACGACTGACGACTACTACTACTACGACTACGACTACGACTACGACTACGACTACTACTACGACTACTACGACTACGACTACGACTACTACTACTACTACTACTAGTACTACTACTACTACTACTACTACTACTACTACTACTACTACTACTACTACTACTACTACTACGATTACTACTACGATTACTACTACTACTACTACTACTAGCGCTACTACTACTATTTCTACTACTCCTACCACTACTACTACTACTACTACTACTACTACTACTACTACTACTACTACTACTACTACTACTACTACTACTACCATTACTACTACCACTACTAGTACTACTACTACGACGACGACTACTACTACTACTACTACTACACGACTACTACTACTACTACTACTACTACTACTACTACTACTATAACTACTACCACTACCACTACGATCGCGACTGCTACTTCCACTACCACTACTACCATTTCATCCATTTAGACAACTGCCGTGCATGCGAGTTCCGAGGATCCCGACGGAAGCATCACAGTCCTACCCCGCACATGCGATCTACCGAGACGCAAAATAATCTGTAACCCCCCCCCCGCACCCCGAGCTACCCCCCCCCAGGTTATATCTTCAGGGGCATCTTGTTAGCTGTATTGCAAGCCATCATGTTACAATCCTTCTATGAAGTGTGAGTTCAATTGCTCGCTTGTTTACGATGCTCATGATCGCAGGCGATCCCTGTTTTTTTTTTGTACTTGCGTGTCGAATGACTGCAGGCGTCTCTGATTCACTCTTGCAACACGTGTGCAGCGGTCAAGTTAGAGTATATGCCGCTCCTAAGCATCAGTTGCTCTGCATTATGAAATGTCGCCGCAGTCTGTCTCGAGCACATCAACTCAGAGGTGAGGATGGTCGCCAGGTTTTGACTCGAAATGCTCCCATGTTCCCAAATCGTGCCATTTGTTCTGCCTGGGCTGCTCCGACGTACACAGCATTGTTTGGTTTTTCCAGTCCGAACTGTCATAGTGTCTAATCCGAACACTGAGCCAATGCCAACACTCATGCCCGTGATCAGGGAGCGGCGCAGTCAGTGCGTTCCAGTGAGTCTTGTCTGGCTGGGCCTCCGTGGCTCCTTGCTGGCATGCTCCGCGACGTCTCCACCGCGACCCTTGCACCACGCGTGGCCGCTCGCGGGAGAGGCACGCGCGCGTGCCAGCCGGCCAGCGCTTGGTTTGCGTGCGCGTGTTGGGGAGGAGGTGCCCGCCGCAGGTGATCCTGCCCAAGTGGCTGAATCGGGCCATGGCCGCGGGAGACACCCGAAAAGGTCCGGCCGCACCGGCCGTGCAGAGGGAGAAGAGGAACGGCGCAGGGAACAGTCCCGCCGTGCGGCTCTGGACTCCTCCTCTCCCGGGTCGGGCCCCTTCCGCACCTCCCAGTCCCCTCTTTTTCCTGGCGCTCCCCTCCGAGGGCTACTCGGGCGAGTCCGCGCGGGGTCTCTTCCTGCTTTCCCTCTGTTTTTCTTTTGTGTTTCTCTCTGTCTCTCTCTCTCTCTATCCATCTCTCTCTCTCTCTCTTTTTCCATTCGCAGAGGACGACAAGGGTAGGTGGCCAGGAAATCTCGCCCTCATTCTTCCAGACCTTCCGTGCTGGCCTTCCGCACGCTTGCGCTTCGTGAAACGCCGAGTTTTCCTGCGTTTCCTGAGGCCTTCAATAGTTTTAGTGCAGCACCTTCCGTGCTTCCCGCAGAGGTCGGAAGGTATGGACGATGGAGGTGGAGGGAAGAAGGAGGTGTTCCTTGTCCAGCAGCTGCTGCACTTCGCTGGTTTCGGCTCCACCGCCCGGCAACCTCCCCGACGCCGCTCGTGGCGCTGGGAAGCGCCGGGGAAAGCAGCAGCACGCAGTTGGCTCGGTTGCCCCATTTTGGCGGTCCCCCCTTTCTTTGCTGGGCCTGTTTCCCACCACCACCATAAGTTGGAGGGGGAGGGTGCCCTCTTCCTTCTCCTCCTCTTCCTCCTCCTCATCATCATCATCATCATCCTCCTTTTCGTCCTCCTCCTCGTCCTCCTCCTCCTTCCCCCCTCCAACTTATGGTGGTGGTGGTGGTGGAAAACACTCCCATCATTCTTCGAAGAAGAAAAATGGCCATAAACATAAACTTTTGGCGCTCCGCGCGGGCCCCCCCCCCCCCCCGCGGCGCAGGAGGCCCCTGGTGCGCTCCGCGCGACAGGGAGGGGGCTCCAACGCAGATCCCAAAAATTCCCGTGGACCGCCACAAGTTAATGTTTATGGCATTTGTTCTTCCCCTATTGAAGAGGCCTGACGGCCGGTGCCGCCGACCCTGATCGAAAGGGCTAGGAGTGGGGGAGGAAGCGGAGGATGATGATGATGATGATGATGATGATGATGATGATGATGATGATGATGATGAGGAGGAGGAGGAGGAGGAGGAGGAGGAGGGAGGAGGGAGGAGGAGTGAGGAGAAGGAGGAGAGGAGCAGGAGGAGAGGAGGAGGAGGAGGAGGAGGAGTGGAGAAAGGAGGAGGAGGAGGAAGAGGGAGGAGGAGAGGATGAGGAGGAAGTGCATCCTTTGTGTGCCCGCTCGAAGAAAGTGCGCCCCGGGAGTGTGATATTCTGACTTGGGACGTGCTCCCGGAAGAGGAAGAAGTGCATCTCGGGCGTGCCCGCTCGAGGAAAATGCGCCCTAGGGGGGTGGTATTTTGACTCGGGGCCCGCTCCCGGGAGAGCCGCCTCTGCGGGACCCGAGGGAGGGAGGAGGAAAGGAGGAGAGGAGGAGGAGGAGAAGGAGGAGAGGAGCAAAGGGGTAGGAGAGGGAGGAAGGAGGAACAGAAGGAAAGTAGAGGAGGAGGAAGGAGGATGAGGAAGGAGGGGGACCAGAGGAGGAGAAAGTGCATCCCGGGCGTGCCCGCTCGAGGAAAGTGCGCCCACGGGCGGGGGCCGTCGTACTGCCCCGCCCGCAACCCCACCCCCCCTTCCCCTCCTCCCCCCCCCCCCCCCCCCCCCCTGCGTGGAAGGGATCAAAGGGAAGGTTCTTCCCTTCGACTCCTTCGACGTCGGTTTAAAAAAAAAAAAAAAAAACAAAAAAAAAAAAAAAATCAATCCTCGCCTTTGGAATAGCGCGCTGAAGCGAGTGCGCCTTGAGGAGGAGAATCCCCTGGGAGGGGGAGAACGGAGACGACGGAGACGACGAGTCGAACGTAGAAGCCCCTCACACACGCCGACAGGGTCGGCGGAGTTCTTCCACCGTCCATCCCGATCCATCCGCCCGCCGTCTCCATCCAGATATATGCAATCGATCGCGTCTCTGGTGTCTGGAGTCTGGGCGGAGTCCACACATGGTCTGTGGACGATTTTATTATCACTATGTGTGACCACGTTGGAGCATGCTTTTGTTGGACCATTCTTAATTGTTAGCCCAAAATCCGCCTGTATGGGGGACATACCCGACCGAAATCCAGCTCGCTGCCGGCGCTCGCTCGTGCACAGCTCGATTGGGAGATTGGCAGCCTGCGCCGGTCAGCTACAGCAGACGCCCTGCGGCACTGCACGACAGGGCAGCGCGCGGACAGCCCCGCGCCGTCCCCAGACCCCCGACGTCATGATTTTTTCATCGCGACCCCCAGAGGTCTGGACCTCTTCGCCGGGACGGGTTTTTCACCCCGAGCCGCTTTTTGGACGGCCCCGAGGGCCGGTCCGGGCCCCCGGAGGCCGAAAAAACAGCAAAACCCCCCGTCGTGATTTTTTCGGGACTCGAGGGGGTCTGGGCCTCGAGCTCTCGACCGCCCCCCTGCCCGAGGCCCTTCCGGGCCGTGGAGGGCAGCGAGCCTCTCGCGCCCGGGGGGCTCGGGGCCTGCGCACGGCGCCGCTCGGCCGGGCGGGGCTCGGCCTGCACCGGGAGAGGGGAGCGGCTGCCCGAGGCGCGGGCCCCTCAGCGGGGGGGGCCAGCAGCCGAAGCCGGCACGGGCACCAGCTCCTCCTCCTCCTCCTCCTCCTCCTCCTCCTCCTTTTCCTCCTCCTCCTCCTCCTCCTCCTCCTCCTCCTCACCCTCCTCCTCCTCCTCCTCCTCCTCCTCCTCCTCCTCCTCCTCCGGCCACCCCTCAGTCTCATCGATCGGCCTCCTCCTCCTCCTCCTCCTCCTCCTCCTCCTCCTCCTCCTCCGGCGGTGGGGGCCAGCAGCCGAAGCTGGCACGGGCACCGGCGGCGCGGGGGGGCCCACCGCTTCGATGCTCGTTCTGGGGACCTTCCTGGGCCCCAGCCAACGGATCTGTTCGACTCGGGTTCGACTCGAGTTTGACTCAAGGTCGACTCAGATTCGACTCAGATTCGACCCAGGTTCGACTCAGGTTCGACTCAGGTTCTATTCAGGTTCGACGCAGCTTCGACGCACGAGTGGAGCGAGTGCCTCCAGGAAGGTCCCCAGAATGAGCATCCAACACCGCGGGCGGCACGCGAGCGGCGCAGAAGAGCGGGGTCGACTGCGCCGTCGTGCGCGCTGCGCGACGCCGACGCTGAGGCCGACGACGCCGACGCCGACCGACAGACGACGGACAGACGACGACGACGACGACGACGACGACGACGACGACGACGACGACGTCGACGACGACGACGACGACGACGACGACGACGACGACAACGAAACACCGCGTAAGTCTGCGTGTGGGCGCCCATGCGGGCGGCCCGCGTAAGCCGCGGGACGTGATGTCGCCTGTGCCTTCGTGCGTGGGCCCGTCGTTCTGATCGTCGCTCACGCGGCGACGAGGACGCGCCCCCTTGCCCAGGGCTTCCCCCGAGCCTCCGATGGGGCACAGCGCGGTGGGGCGGCGCTGCGCTGCCCCACATCCCATTTTGGTTGGATCCCAGGTCACAGCCCCACCCCCAGAGATGGGATGGGTTCCACAGGCCCCCCTCCCTCAGATGGGATGGGTGGGGGCGGACGACGCCGACGCCGACGCCGACGCTGATGCCGACGACGCCGACGCCGACCGACAGGCGACGGACAGACGACAACGACGACGACGACGACGACGACAACGAAACACCCCACACCATTACGGGGAGGGAGGCGGGGCGCACGGACACCCTCCACCACGCCACGCCCACCGGGCCACAGGGGGGGGAGGTACGGTAGGTTCGTGCCGTGTCGACTGGCGGCGACCCCGCCAGCGGCGTTCAGCTTTGTTCGCCGCGGGCGACCCAGAATCGTTCGATGTTGAACGATTCGGACGTCTCGGGAACGGCCGATCGTTCAAGGGTGATCGATCCCCACGGCGTCAGAAGCCAACGCCGAAGTCGATCCCCTGTGAGAGGCCTTCGCGCGGCTCACGGGCGTACCCATCCAGCGGGAGGGAGGGGGACCGATCCCTTGTGTGCATTTGGGGGGGGGCAGCCCTGCACCGTCTACTGGCCATGGCCTGCGCCTGGCGACGCCTGCCGCCCACCCCTCCTCCTCCTCCTCCTCCTCCTCCTCCTCCTCCTCCTCCTCCTCCTCCTCCTCCAGCTCCTCCTCCTCCTCCAGCTCCTCCTCCTCTCCTCCTCCGCCCCCTCCTCGTTCTCCTCCTCCTCCTCCTCCTCCTCCTCCTCCAGCTCCTCCTCCTCTCCTCCTCCTCCTCCTCCTCCTTCTCCTCCTCCTCCTCCCTCCTCCTCCTCCACCTCCTCCTCCTCCTCCTCCTCCTCCTCCTCCTCCTCCTCCTCCCCCCCTCATTCTCCTCGGCCTCCTCCTCCTCATCCTCCTCCTCCTCCGCCTACAGGAGCTCCCAGATATCCGACGTCGTGATTTTTTCCATGGGGGGTCCCGGGAATTCTTGACCCACTCCTTCTGACATCCAACGTGTTGAAAAAGGCAATCTCGTTTTTATGTGAAAGTTCGGCCCGCAGGGGCCCTCGCCGGGCCTCGGCACCGCCAACAAAACGGCTGGGGATGAAACACCGGTCCTGGGGAGTGGGTCGAGACTTCCGGGGACCCCGCGTGGAAAAAGTCACGACGTCGGATCTCTGGGAACGAGTCATGAGGGACACGGGTCTTGAGGTTATGCGCCGATTTCGGGCTCGCGGGGTCCTCCACGGGCCTCGGGGGCTGCCCGGAGAGGACTCAGAAGGAAGAGCTTGTCTTGGGGCACGGCCCCAGGGTCCAGGAGCCCATCCTCGCGAGGCAGGGGGGGAGGGGAGGGGGGAAGGAGGAGAGGGGGGAGTAGGAAGGGAGGGGGGCAGGAGGGGGGAGGGTGGGGGGGAAAAGGGTGGGAGGGAGGGAGGCAGGAGGGAGGGGGGGGGAGGGAGGGGAGGGAGGGGAGGCAAGGGAGGGAGGGAGGAGGGAAGTCGGGGGGAGGGGGAGGGAGGGAAGGCGGGGACTCGGCGGAGAGGCTGCCTCGAGCGGGAGCTCCTCCGGGGGAGGGAGGGCCTCCCGCGAGGAAGCGCGGGGCCGCACGCCCCCGCGCACGAATGGGCCCAGAGGCAATGCCGGAAGCCGGACAAGCCAAGGGGGAGGGAGGCAGTCACGCAGTCGGGGAGGGAGGAGGAGGAGGAGGAGGAGAGGAGGAGGAGGAGGAGGAGGAGGAGGAGGAGAGAGGGGAGGAGGAGGAGGAGGAGAGGAGGAGGAGGAGTAGGAGGAGGAGGAGGAGAGGGGAGGAGGAGGAGGAGGAGGAGGAGGAGGAGGAGGAGGGAGGATGAGGAGGAGGAGAGGAGGAGGAGGAGGAGGAGGAGGAGGAGGAGGAGGAGGAGGAGCGTTCGCCGACGCAGTCGGGGAGCCAGGTGACAAGCCAACCCAACCCGAAGGCCCCGATTTGCCATCCATTTCCAGTGGGGGGGGGGGTCGGGGACCACTGAAAAAGCACGTATGGAACCCATACCCCCCCCCACCCGAAATTCGGGCCTTCCGGTTGGGTTGGGGTGGTCTGGTAGGTAGTCGGGCAGGAGGAGGAGGAGGGGGCTCAGCTCACCGAGCGCGCCCCACTACTCACAACGTGCCCACTCTGGGGTTCTCAATCAGTGTGGGGGGGGGTACCCCCCGACGGAGCTTCGCCTCGTCGTCGCGCCGCGACGGGGGTCGGAGCGCCTTTGGCGCGCGGTGGCTGCCCGCGACGGGGGTCGATGTGGGGCTGTCGGCGGCGATGACGCCCCCCCCGACGCGTACTAAGAAACTCGGAGTACTCGCGTGGTCTACGCGTGGGAGGCGGCTTCAAAGTTGAAGCCAGTGGAGGCCCGTCAAGATCCAGAGCGAGTCGCGCCAGACGCTCCAGAGCGAGACGGCGACCAAGAGCGATGTCGAATGCTTCCGGGCTGAGTTCCGGTCTTTGCAGTCCCGGCCAGCGCATGCCATTCCGCATGGGAGCTTGAAACCCCAGATAGTATTCCCAGCATCTCTCGGCGACTAGAACGGGTATGGGTACACCGAGGTGGTTTGCGATCGGCGCCGTTGGGGCTTAGGGGGTCACCACGCTGCAACAAAGGTTGAATGAGCCCTCGTCGGGCACGGCAGAGATCTCGGTCGAGGTCCTCGCCCCCCTCCCCCCCCCAGGCGCGGTATGGAAGCCATCCCCTTTGGCAGACTACATCCTTCGGAGTCGCCGAGTCTCTGCACGCTGCTCGCAAGCACAGAACAGAGCAAGAACGTGTGCGAGAGAGAGAGAGAGATACAGGGTTCCATTTGGGAGGGACAGATGGATGGTGCGGCCGCTGGAGTTTACTCATTGCACCATTCTCTGCTCAGCTGCGCTGCTTACTCCCAGACGGCGCAAAGGCGGACCGCCCCCCGCCCCTGCCAGAACAGCCCGAGGCTTCTGAAGCACGCTGGCAATTCAGGGCCTCCCTTTCTAGCCGAACAGCAGGAATGCAGAGCGGTTCGACGGCCTGATGGACCAGCGGGCACGCGACATCACTTGCGACACTCCCCCTCGCGGGGATCGGCGAGGCGTCTCTAGATATGCACGCAGAGTGCGTCGTCGTCGTCGTCGTCGTCGTCGTCGTCGGAGCAGGGGGGCATGCTACGGCGACGTTCCCCGCATGATTCGCCCAGCCCCAGGTCCGACCAACATCACCATCCCCTTCTGAGGCTCGGCTTTGAGCTGACCCGTATTCACGCGTGCATTCACGTTGACGGACTGATTCTCCGACATGTTGAGCGTTTGGTTCTGACGTGCCCAGCTGAGCGTCAGAGACAGGGAAGGCATACTGTATGAGGCTCCTAGCCATGCCTCCTAGGCGGAGCTGCGTTTGATAGGGCAGGCCAGGAGGCCTGAGAAGTCTCACTGGCAGTGCATTGTTATACTGCGCTCGCTCCCCCTAGACCTCCGACGACTCGATGACTTTCGCGTCGCCCCCCCCCTTGAAGCTCCCGACCCCTTCCCCAGGACCAGCATAGCCTTCGTTCCCGAGCCGTGTTATATGACGGTCCTGCTGGCAACGGAGAGCGCTCCCCCAGTCGCCGAACTGTTTGGAAACCTGTCCAGGGTGGTTTTCTCGAGTCGCGAGAGGTCTGGGTACAGTCGGGGCCCTGAAGAAGGAACGCTTTTCGTTGGGGAGGGGCTCGGTGTTCCTTGATTGTTTTACAGTTTGCATCGGGTTCTCCTTAGGTTTCTGCATGGGAAATCGAAGTTTAACTTATGGGAAAGAGGGGCCTCGTTCCTTACGTAGGGTTCCTTAGGTCAACGCCGCGACTGTATCCGTCTGTGTCTTTTTTCGTCGTTTCCTTGGGTAGTGGCCCCCACTGCAATGGAGTTGCCGGGGCAGCCCGGGCTCCCACAGCCAGCGGAATTGACATTAGGAAAGCGTGCACATTCTGTTGCAGAGGCGCACTCTCGAACATCTCGGCACAAACTCGTGACTGATTCATCATGGCAGCGATGACCGCTCTTAGCAGCAGCGCTATGATTGCAAGGGCTTCGGAGTGAGACTCTGCGCGAGTGAATCTTTCCAGCACCGTGTAGCATCTCGGAACAAGCGCACGATGTTTTCAGTACCGGCGATGGGCGTGCCGGATCGAAATCCCATTCTTGGATCGGTGTCCGAGGCTACATTGTGCGCTTGGCAACCAGCGCCACTGCAGGTGGCCGTCTCTGCCACTGCCGCGCGAATGGCACATCGTAGTCATATCGTGTGCCGTTCTGGGTCTGTCGGGATCCTGGAGGAGGAGGAGGAGGAGGAGGAGGAGGAGGAGGAGGAGGAGGAGGAGGGAGGAGCTCCAGGGCCTGGCCCTCTGGCCTCCGGGGTCAGGTGGTTGTAGTTATGATCGGCTTCCTCCTCCTCCTGCTCCTCCTCCTCCTCTTCCTCCCTCCTCCTCTTCCTCCTCCCGAGCCACATCTTATCCCACTTTCTCGGAGCACCATGCGCACAGCCAGTCGGCACCCTCGCGCCATCGAATGCTTTACGTCCTGTCAGCCCCCAGGGTGCTGCTTGGCGACAGCTCTGCAGCACCGACGTGGGTAGGGCATCACAGTTTTTACGTTTCGCAAGCTCCCACCGGCCCCTTCGGTGTCCCGCCTCTCTTCGAGAGGAGTCTCGTCTTGACGTCTCGAGTTGCGTGGGAGGGTGTAGGCCCCGCCTCCGTCTCCTCGTCTTCCCCCCTCCTTCGTCCCGATCCTGCTCGTCTCTTCGCGCTCGGGCCCCGCGGCGAGCGGGTCGGCTTCTCGTCGCCGTCAGCGGGAGGGGGGAGGGTAAGCCAGGCCGTGCGCACGCGGGCCGCACCGCAGCGGGGAGCCGGAGGTGCAGCTGCGGGGGGCCGAGGCGACGCAGGGGGCGCGAAGCCGCGAGAGGCACGGAGGGGCAGCGCGGAGGTGCACGCGCACGAGCACGAGCACGAGGCCGAGGCGCCCCGCAGAGCACCCGCGCGCCTGCGGCCGCGGAGGCGCGCGCGCCGCCCCCGCGATGGAGGCCGGGCGCGAGGACTGCCCCGAGGGGCCCGCGGGGGCCGAGGCGGCCGCCGGCTTCGGCGGGCTGCTGCTGCAGCTGGCGCGCGGCCACGAGGCGGACCTCCGCGCGCTGCGCTGCGAGCTGGCGGCCCTGCGCCAGGACGCGGCGCCGGCGGGCAGCTTTCAAATACATGGGATTTTCAAGAATGTAGGATTTGTCATACATGACTAACGTATGCATACATTCATGCATGAGCTCATCGGTGTTTTTTGGTACTCAATCCCTGCATTAATACACGATCCGCGCGCGGAGCATGTGTTAAAAACGGCACGGTCGGCTGGCCTGTGCCCTCGGAGCTGGGCGCTCACTGCAGCCCTCTCTGGCGCCCGGCGTCGGCGCGCCGGGTTTCGGCCCCGGGGCCCGCACGGCTCGGTGCGGCTCGGGAGGCGGCGCAGAACGATGGGGTGTAGGGTTCTACTCCTAGATGGGGTCCGAGTAGATGGGGTCGGAGGCTCGCGCCGCATCGCGGATGCATCGGCGATGTATCGGCGATGCATCGGCGATGCGGCTCGATGCGGGGCCCAGTTTTCTCCACGCCGACGTCGCGGATGTATCGCCGACGTCGCCAGTGCATGGCCGATGCATCGGCGATGCGGCGAGATCCTCCGACCCCATCCACTCGGATCCCATCTAGGAGGCCTTGCCGGTCGTGATTGCTCACGGCGCTTGAGATTCTCTGTGACACCAGATCTCAGGGTACCCAGAAGCCGCCAACCTTTCTCTCTTTTTTGTTGTTTTTGTTAACGATTTGTGTGTGTGTCCTCATGCTGTGGTATTACATATCAGCGGCTTTCTAGGATTTCTGAGGCGGTCGATGCTTTTAGCGATGTTGCTCACTACTTGTTGCGCGCGACGCGCTTGTTTGGCACGTATCGAAGCGTCGCCACGCTTCTGCCAGCAACGCTTCGGAACAGTGGGCAACGCTTCGAATCGTGCCGAGCAAACGCGGCCACGCAGCCACCCAGAAGGGGATGATGAGAGGAGAAGGAACGTGAGGACAAATGGTGCTGAGCAGGGGGAGGAGGCGGTGGGCAAGGAACTGGAGAGAAGACGGTCAGACGGAGGAGGTAGTTGATTTTTTTCAGAGGCAGAGGTCGAACAGCGCAAGCGTTTATTTTAAGTTGACGTCGACGTGTGTATGTATGCATGCATGCATGCATGCATGTATCTATAATCAGTCGCTCAGCTTCATTCCCGTTCGCTGATTCAGATGCGGAGTGCGCGTGCGGAGCGCCAACACCCAAACGCACATCCGTGGACAAGAACAAGGTGGCTCGCGAGCGCAACGGGCCGCGGACACGATCGCAGCGACGTCCCACGTGAAACTGACCCTGATCCGGTTTTAACACCGTCCTCTTTCTTCTCATCCCTCGCCATCGCCTGCTTGGTTACATGGGGGCCCGGGGGAGCGGTGCCAAGCCGAGCCTCGTCGCCAAGCGGCGCGCTGGACAGCGAGGGCAGGGGCGAACATGATGAGGATGAGCGGCGGCAAGCATGAACAACCTGACGGACCAGGAGGAGGGGAAAGAAAAGCAACCACAACAGTGACGCTGGGTCAGAGATGAGGGTGGCGAGGTGAATGGGGGAGGAAGAAAGAAGGGGGCTCTTCGGATGGTGCAGCGCCAGAGGAGAAGACAGTCGAATAAAAAACAGTTCCCCGCGCGCCAAACCTCACGCCCGAATGGGCATTACTGGTCCCGCGTGCATTTCCCAATCCTCCCGCAGTGGAGAATGGAGGGGGGCCGATGGCTGGTTCCACGGCGTCGGTCTTCGAGCCCGCCCCCATGGCAGCTCCTTCCTTGGCGCTCATGTTCTCCATCCGTCGCTTCTTTTCGCAAGCGTGTTTTAAACATCCGCTATCGCCGAATTGTCCGATGCAACGATGGTCTTCCCTCGCACGCTCGGCCTGCCAGTCGTAGCAATGCCCGCCCGATGCGAAGTTCAACGTGTGCTGCTTGTGGGTGGTCAGATCACGGTGGATTGTGTATGCAATGCCCACGATGCATGGATGATGCGTGATCAATGTTGGGGTCCCTTGCGCGCATATTACGTTGCGCTGCCATGGTGCGCGCGTCATACCTGCTCGGCGTGTTTAATTTGCCCGCAGAGCGTCCATTTCGGTTTGGGATATGGCCCCGGCAAGCCAGCCCGCCCCAGATACATCTACCAGTCGGTTTCCACTCAGTGCGGATCAGAGAATCTCCTCGCGGCGATCTTGCGTCGCTGCGCCGCCAGCTGCTTGGGGGGCGATAGAAATCTGAGCCGTCGAGTCCAAGAGGCGCCGAGAACACCAAAACCGCCCGAATACGGTCATAGGAGGGCCCGAGAGAGCCCCGACACATCCGTGCCCAAGGGCCCTTGGTGGGCTCGTAGTTCCAGGAACACTCTCGGGGCCACATCGGGGCCCTCGTGGCCACGTCGGCGCCCTATGGGGGCCCTCTGGGGCGCTGCTCGGGCCCTCGTGGAACGTTCTCCCCCCCCCCGCCGAGCTTTTCGAAGGCATTCGATTGTCTTGGTTGGAAGCGCGCTCTGTTTCAACGCCTCGGGGATGGGCCCGCGCGGGGGGCGCCTGCGGGCCGAGCGGCTGCCGACGAGCCAAACGGCGGCAGCATTCGGGGGCGCGCGTGTCCATGCGCGCCCCTGTCGTTGCTCATTCCTCGTCGTCGCCCTCGCCCTTCCCGCCCGCGGTCGCGCCCCCCGCCCCCCTGGCCCCCCTCGCCGCCTCCGCCGCGCAGGTACGAGCGCGAGAGACCGGGCTGCCAGTTGGGCCGCCGCCCCGCCGAGCAGAGCCGACGCCGTCGCCGCAGAAGGTCCGCGGCCTGAGATCCCGGCGTGGATGGGGTGGACGCGGGGTGGGGGCGCGCGGCGCGTCCCAGGAGGGCGGGCTTTCGATCGCGGGCGCGGTAGCTTGCGCCTCAGGGGTGGGCTGCGCGGCGACTGGGCGGCACTTTGGCACGCCGCTGCGAGGTCAATGCTGTCGACGCGCTCCCCGTTGCTAAACGCTTTGTGGATCCACTAGGGGCGAGCGCGCCTCGGCGCCCCCCTCGCGCGCTTCGCGGCCCCATGGGGGTATGGGGGGCCCCCCGTGTTGCGCCGCATCGAGCGCGGCCAGGTGGGTGGGGCGCTGCGCAGGTAGATTGCAC